ATAACAATAATAATAATAATAATAAATTTAAAAAACAAACAATACAAAACCTTACCGTGTAGTCTCCCTTGTACCAGGTGTAGGGCAGTCTGCCAGCCGGGGACGAGTTCCCGTTCTCATTGAGCAACACTCGGACCAGAGCCGTGCCACAGGCTTGGGCTAAGGGGGAGACAGGATACAGGGGGAACGTAGTGTATAAATGGGAAGTTTTGTTTGTTGTTGTGTTGTTGTTGTTGGTAGTGGTGGTGGTGGTTTTGTTGTAGGTGGTGTTGCTGGTGGTGGTGGTGGTTTTTATTGTTGTTGTTGGTGGTGGTGGTGGTGTTCTTGTTGTTGTTGTTGTTGTTGATGTTGTTGTTGCTGTTGTTGTTGTCGTCGTCGTCGTTGTCGTCGTCGCCGTTGGGTATGTGTGGGAGCCTATCCCTCTGAATTGCTTGGAGCCCCGAAGAGCGTGCTCTTCGTCAGGGCCACCGCCTCTCTTGGGTAGCGGGTGAGGCAGTCCAACCTCCCTGAATCATCCCCAAAAATATGCCACCACCAGACATATCCGTAGCGGATTATCTCTGCAGCCAGCACTCCAAATGTTGGGGCTCTTACGCTGCACGATGGACAGATTGGGTGCGATGTGTTGTCTATTTTGAGTTTGCAGGCCCGCAGCCCAGAGAAGTGACCAGTCCTGGTTTTTGCCAGTAGTAACTGGTCGCCGAGCGGGCCTAATTTACGCCTCCCGTTGTCGTTGTCGTCGTTGTCGTTGTCGTTGTTGTTGTTGTTGTTGTTGCTGCTATTGTTATTAGAGTAAAGAGAACCACATCGACACAATCACTGTAATCAATGCAGACAAAAAGTAAGACAGATAGACAGAAGAAACAGCTGAAAGAAACAAAGTAGGCCCAACCAGCGATACCATTCAACCACCCGTTAGCTTTTGATCCATACTAGAGGCATGTTCAGCATTGGTTTTGTACATGGAGAACTTCAAAGAAGTGGAGAAGGAGAAAAAAGGGACAGAAGCTAAGCTGTTGATGACAACAAACTATCTAATACCTTTAGAAAAAGTTCTCTCTCTCTCTCTCTCTCTCTCTCTCTTTGTCTATCTCTCTCTCTTTCTCTCTATCTCTCTCCCCCTCCCTCTCTCTCTCTCTCTCTCTCTCTCTCTCTCTCTCTCTCTCTCTCTCTCTGTCTGTCTGTCTGTCTCTCTTGGTGCCTTTGTCTCTCTGTCTCTTTCACAGTCTCTCTTTCTCTCTTCTCTCTCTATGTCTCTCTCTCTCTCTCTCTCTGTGTCTCTGTCTCTTCGTGTCTCTCTCTCTCTCTCTCTCTCTCTCTCTCTCTCTCTCTCTCTCTCTCTCTCTCTTCCCTCTCTCTCTTCCCTCTCTCTCGCGTACCAAATTTATGGAAAAATCATAATATGTTAGTCAGAATACACTCACCAGGGTATGACATCTGCAGAATGGCGCTGACTCCTTCACTTGCCTCTGCCCACTCCACATTGAGAGGACCAGCGCTAAACAACAACAGAATCACGATCTGGTTCTTCGCTGCTGGTGGAAAGCACACGCAATCAAAACAAAATCATTAAGAAAATATAATGTTAGTGTTTTTCCACCGCCATCGAAACAATTTAGATCATTTAAGAGGCGGCTAGGACCAACTCAAGCATAGGGAGATACAACATCCCAGCAGAAAGACCAAGATACTCGATACAAATTTTCTCTGTTCACGGAAAGCAAGATCAGGACTTTTGGTAACTACAACAGCCTAGTAAGAAAATGTCTTCTAGGTACATTAAATACAGGTAAGATAATATCATCACTGCTCTGGCTTTTTATAATGACGTCCATCTCAGATTTTATCTCCAAAACAGAACATAATATGGATCGTGGGAACTCATTAAATAAACCAAATTTGAACAGCAATGATCACAATCACATAATATATTATATTCACCAGACTTTAATTCTAAGGGCCACTTAGCGCCAAATCTCACTTCCCTTTTGGTTTTCTGTCCATATCATTGTTTGTATTATTTTGTTCTGTATATCTGTGTGCGTTTGTTTGTTTGTTTGTGTATGTTTGTATGTGCGCGCGGGCGCGCGCGCGCGCGCGTGTGTGTGTGTGTGTGTGTGTGGGTGGGTGGGTGGGTGGGTGGGTGGGTGGGTGGGTGTGTGTGTGCGTATGTGTGTGTGTGTGTGTGTGTGTGTGTTTGCGTGTAAGGGATAAAATTAATAATATAACGTCGGCCTGGTGATAAAACCGTCTAACCCACAAAATATCAAAAAACTTTTTATTGGCCCTATCGATAGTAAATTGTCCATTTCATATGCTCACTCAAAGACAGATCTGAATTTTGTCTAGAAATGTCTGTAAAACATCAGAAATAAAACCGTATAACCCGGCACCCATCGGATTTTAGCCCGATAATTCCGACTATCCCACCTGCGAGGGACGGAATGAGGGTTGGCTGTTTTTATCGCGCTAACAACGAGGGGCCATTTGCTACGTTACCGACTATCCCCGGCTTCGACTCCTCTCTGGACTTAATTTGACATCAGATTCAGACCTGTAATAGTCCAGAATTTGCTCACATAACCGTGGGAACTCTCCAAAAAGGAATATTTGTGTAATATTTCTTGTTGATTTCACTGGGGAGTTATATAGATCTGGTTGTTTCCTCTTTTTTCTTCGTTTTAATGCTGCTGATAACGTTATTAATGACTACAACTCCCCATTGTTCCCACAGAACTGTTTATCTCGTGACGATTCCGGTATTTGAAATGCATCTTTATGGATTTTGTTTTGTATGAAACTATGTTTTCTGTCCGCGTGTTTTTCTTTGTCTTTGTACTCGAAATTCACCGATTGTGAAGGCATTTTCCCCTATTCGGACTACTGTCTCTTCTCCTAATCATTTTTCCTTCACAATTGAATGGACGAAGTAGATAGCATTTCCTCCTTTACTAACTCACTCCAAAAAAAAAATAATTGTGGGACCTGTCCAGCACACCGTCTGCCCCCAACGATCGTTGGTTTTTAAAGTGCTTTTTCTTTTTTTTTTCATTTGCTGTGTTTATTGCAGTCATTACCTTGACGTCCTTGGCAGTTGTAAACTGGTTGGTACAAAATGCAATGATATCACTGGTCACTCTCTTGGAAAGAAAAGAGAGCCTACGTATATGACACGATAAACATGATAGACAAAAAGAGATCTTACACAGCAAGCGAAAACCCAAGGAGAAATTACAGCCACTTACAAGAGTCAATGGTCAAAGAACACCTGTTTGTAAAACAATCTTCAAGAACACCACAGGCCTGACCCACTGGTTTATTTAAAGTGTCTTCTCCGAAAAAACAACAACCAAGAGGTCCACCCACCTAGAACACATCACGCCCACCATGAGAGAGCCAAGGATGACAAGTTGTTCCATAAAGAGGATTTTTTTGGGACAAACTTTTGAAGATATCCTCCTGTCTACAGATGACAATCCAGAAAACGTCAGATCTGCATCAAGTATACATGGAGAACTTTGCAGAGAGGGTGAAAGCCACATTGAGCTATCAAGTGTTCTGCCAAAAGTTCAAGGAAAACAATTTGGGTTTACTTTCAACCAAGAAAGACCAGTGCGACATTTGTACAAAGTTCAAATCTGGAAACCTCACAGAAACAGAACACACAGCTCAAATATGAATATGAGGAAAGCTGCCGCTAGACCAGAGAAGGAGAAGGACAGGGAGGCTGTGTGTGTTCTTTGTATGGAGATCAAGTGCGTCCTTCTGGCCTCATCACTAAAGACTTCCACCTTATATAAAACAAAACTGGCTGTACACAATGTTACGACTTAGGATCTTGCCACCAGAGACGCCAGATGATATGTCTGGTATGAAAGTGAAGTTGGCCTGGGCTTCAACAGTTTTCATCACGTCTGACTCACTAACTGATATTGCAAGTGACTGACTTCAATCACTTCATCATCTGCAGTGATTGGCGCAACTACTAAAACAGAAATGCTACCCTGGTGAGTGCAATGGCCTCGCTGGCCAAAGAGCTTGACATCACAGTTGAGCAGAAATTCTTCCCAAGGGCCATACCCAAATGGAAGTGGATTCAGTCCATGGCACTATTGAGCGATCGCTAAAAAACGCACTGATGTACATCCCAATGGACTACGTGAACATCATGCTCAAAGCCAGACGCATCACCAGGCCCTATGAAGTTATGTTCCTGGACCACAGCTTTTTCAAAGATTTCGCAAAGGTCGGAGAGCACTAAACAATCCGTCCAGGGAGAAAAGCAGGCGATCCTACTGTCACTGACTTGCAGGCATCAAAGTACACTCCAGTCTTTAAAAGGCAGTACAAGCTGAACTTTGATGATGGATGGCAGGCGCTGCAAGGACCAAGAAAGCTGAACACCATGTGTACGACGGTTACTGCTGGACCTCTCTGCAAAGACAGATTGAAGATAACTGCCAACCAGTTTAAACATCTACTTGAGTTGAAGGCGGTCCTACCACGATGCTACCACAATTACCATGAAACTTTGCCTCTGTAAGAAGTTTTGAAAGCGATCAAGCCAAATTCGATTATTGTTGAGTCTTTCAAAACAATGGTAACTTTTGTCGTATTGCCTTGTTGTAGCCATAGGACACAGCGTGAGACAGACATGCTCTTCTGTCGTCGAGAAAACTCTTAAATAAAGTAGTAGTTGTCAAGCCACACATTTGGAGAAAACTGGCGCATTCTTTGGTACTCACAAAGTCTTTTTGTATAATAATGATATATCATTATGTAACCAACTTCTCCCAAACCATTGCCGAGGTAGCAGAGCTTTTGTGTGGCTTTCTGCTTTCATTTCTTTCTTAGTATTACTTTTTTCCAGGCCTTTGAATGACCACCCAGTGCCAATAGTACCGTGTCAGACACTGTCATAAATTCTAAAGGCCTACTGTTGCTGCTGCTACTACTGTTGTTTTTGTTGTTGTTGTAGTTGTTGTTTTTGTAGTTGTTGTTTTTGTAGTTGTTGCTGTAGCTGTTCTCCCTTACCCTCCCAACCTCCTGTTCTTCTACTTTAAATGTAATTAATATACCCATTGCTGTGTTCTGCTTCTTCTACTTCTATTAAAGGTTAAACTTTGTGACTGCTGTTTTTGCCCGAATTGACTCCGTAGCACTGAAATGGCAGCAGCTGATATTATGTTGGTAGCAATAATATAGTCCTCCTCCTCCTCCTTCTTTTTCTTATTACTCCTCCTCCTCCTTCTTTTTTCTCCTCCTCCTCCTCCTCCTCCTCCTCCTCCTCCTCCTCCTCCTCCTCCTCCTCCTCCTCCTCCTTCTTCTACAAAAGATCTTGACGATTGAAGCAAGTGATCAAATACGTTACCGTCAAGTGTGGCTTGGCTGCACTTAACCAAACTCAAGGCCAGCAGTGGCTTCCTGATAAAACCGGTCAACCCACAAAATTGAGGGTTGGTCGGTTTTATCCAGGAAAATTTGAGCGACAAAACCGTCTAACCCACACAGTTTCATTAAAAGCAATTTTTAAAAGAAAAAAAGTTCTACAGATTTTCGGTAAAGTGTTTTTATAGGTGTTTAAAGCATTGATTTATCGTTAGACGCCTTTGTTTTGAAATAAAACAGTTTTTTCCTTCTCCTGTAAAATTTACCTCGCTGGGGTTAGCCGGTTTTATCACAAGGCCGACGATAATTTGTGTATATATTATATTTCTTTCCATTATAATAGTGCGTCAAGAAGTCATGGTATCCAGTGTGCACTTACCATATTTGACAGCAGCCTGTAGGAGCGCCAACTGTTGGCCGGGAAGCGAGATATTTGACCTGTCGTTTCCCTCGCTCTCCAGGTCAGAGCCTGGCCAGACAAGGTTGTACAATTAAGGAGAGAAAATGCACGGGCTTGGATCGAATGGTGATTACTTGTAGATAATATTCAGTCTGCTTGTTGATCTGCTAGTTTTTATCATATCATATGGAAGTACTAAAAGTGTCTAAAAATCACGATGACGTACACAGGCTATTATGGAGGAAATTATCATAATAATAGATATCATTTTTAGAGAGCAAATTCTTTTTCAGTAGCAAGGTCTATGCGCTTTACAATATATTATTACCCCAGCAGACCGGACAGCATTCTGAAACAATCTCAACTTCCTGTGAAGCATACAGTGTATACAGGTGCTATCCAAAGACACACTGACATACAGACATAACTCTGCATTCCCTGTCTACCCATGCCGCGAGAAAGGAATGCCAGCCTAATAGAGTACATGGAATCAATGCTACATATTTAGCGCCAGCAATGGCGTTCTGCCCTTTGTAACCCAGTGCTTTTGGTGACAAACATTTTGAAGATTATGAAGATTTTAATATTATACCGACGGAAACTAGTTTTATTTCTCTCGTTTTTACATGCTCTCATTTTGGAATTTCATTCAAATTGAAAAACAAATACATGTACCAAACGATACCGAGATAGCCCAACTTCCTAGCTAGTCAATCATAAACCAACATTAAAGATTACAATTGAGAATCAGACTAAAACGTTAAAGTACAAATTTCCAACAAAAAGCCCACCCAACTACACATTCTTTTGTCTACAGTTTGCTTCGCAAGACGTGGAGGTGAGGCCGTGCTTACCAAATTTATTGGCAAAGTAAAGATGCAAACATCGTGACTAAATAGAGCAATAAGTTGAGAGGGGAACATCGACATTTAACAGCATGCAGCTGATTTCTTTAATGAAACACATTACACCCAGGCAGCATGCTGAACTGAAGGCTCCAATGCATTTAGCCAAGTGGACGCAAAGAAAGAAAAAAAATAGCGTACACAGTGCACACGTTTACGTAAATTAATTAACGGTGCACGTACAACCGTAAGCTTACGATATAATTTCATGGAGAAATATAACATAAAACCTAGAGAATACGACGAACACAAAAACTACGTTTCCAAACAGTTGGTGCACTCGGCTACCCTGGTACTCGACATGGTTTAATGTGGGGTCTTGCGCCCCACTCACTTGCTCTACATGAGCTGACATCTCTGCATTTAATGTCCATCTCTGATATTTTATTATAGGACCAAGTTAAGCTGGTGGAAGGACCAAGTTAATGGAAAGCCATAAAACTCACCAAACAAACCCAATTCAAGAACAATCCCTCGAGAGTTCGAACACACCATAACATCAACCACAACGATAATAACAGTGATGACAGTATCATGGCGATGATGATATTTGTTGTTGTCGTTGTTGTTGTTGTTGTTGTTGCTGTTGTTGATCTTCTTCTTCTTCTTCTTCTCCTTATTACTATTATTATTATTATTTTATTATTATTATTATTATTATTATTATTATTATTATTATTATTATTATTATATCACTGGGCTAATATGTCGTACTTAAAAAAAAAAAAACAATAAAAACTGGAAAATAAGCTGTGAGGGGAAGATGTGTCTCGGGGTGGGGTGGGGTGAGGTATGGGGACAATAGAATTTACCCGTTCCCAGAGCAACCACCACGACTTCTGATCCTTGCACAGCCTTTTTGATGTCGTCATCGTTGTAAGACTTGCAGCTTGTGCGCTCACAGCCACTGGCATAGGCGAACGTCTCGCCTACTTTGGTGAGTGCCTGGCGTGGGGTACTCACGCGCGCCTTGTCGAGGTCCACGGAGTACTTGCCGTACATCTGGCTGGGGTTGTCTCCCATAGGTCCTACCACCTGTGAAGGGAAATGATACCAAGAGGTGAGTGAATGTGAAAGATAAACAAAATAGAACAAGTAGAAAAATGTTCGGAAAAATAAAGAAATAGATTAATTAGTGGAGGAATGATCTATTGGAGAAAAATACAACAACATCGATTTCATAACGGTCAAAAGTGTAATTTTTGACGAAGATGTTTTCCCCCGCCCCCATCCCCTCCCCCTTTCAACACAATTTAGATCATTAGGAAGCGGGCTTCCCACTCTGCCTATCAGGCCGACCCGAGATGAGAGGGATGCAACATCTCATCAGAAAGACCGAGATCTTAGATACAAATTTCTCCCTGCTCGGAAATCGAACTCTGGTTTCCTGCGTGCGGCAGCAAAGCGCATAATTGTGACCACAAGCACTGATAATGTTGGTCGTATAAGATAAAATAAGCCAAGATTTTATTGATCTTCACAAAGAGAAACATGCTATGGTAAATTCTTTGTAGGGAAAAGCGAGACTGGCAGACAGTAACACGTGCGGGAGAACAAAGAAGACGAACCTCGCTGCAGCGTGACCTTGCAGCTTCACGTAAATTTGGTTTATAATAGCTAGAACAAATAGATTCGTGCAATATTTCAACAGACTCACAATTTGAAACAGTTTCATCTTTCTCAATCTCTGAGAGAGGAAATGCGTGAAACCATTTCAATAAGAAGCCAGCAATTGAAACACTTTCCACTTTCCTTTCCATTTTCGTCTGAGAGAAAGGACCTGTCATTTTGTTGTGATAAATTGCGTCCACATCGCATCCTTTATTCAGAACCTGGGTTGCTTCCAAACTGAGGTGAGTCCTTAGCTCAGCTGGCTGGTATCCTGCTATGATCTGGTGTGGAGGACCCAGGTTCGATATCCAAAGCGACGTTATTGATCTCACACCTTTATTGCTTGGGGCTCTTTGCCTACTTGGCTCGGTCCGAACAGAGATCAAGTCTCTAACCCAGCTGAGCTTATAGGGGTGTTAAAACCAAACCATATTGTGTATACCACCTTGTTTTTATTTATTTACTTATTTATTTGTTATTTTATTTCATGTTATTATTGTTTTTAAAATCTATTTATGTATTATTATTTTTTAATTAATTTTTTTTTTTTTTTTTTTTTTGGGGGGTGCCTGTCAAAACCGACGTGGGTGTTTAATACAGATAGTTTCATCTTTTGCAGAGATTTACCCACTCAAGTATCACCTGTTTTCACCAGCATGCGTGGAGTCGCCGTTTGCTCAGCTGATAACAAGCTGGACAATAGAGAAGGGCTCTGATTCAAATCATCAATTGGTGGGGGGGGGGGGGGTTCAGGGCTCCAGGGCTCTCCACTAATTTGATTCGGTCCTTTAGAGATGGACATTAAATTCGGAGGTCGTGCCTCTTGAAATACCTTAAAATCTTGAAACATTTAACCTATACAAATTCACGTTGTTTCCAGCACCAGAGGTGCAACGGCTAAGTTCCTCGCAATTGTTGCAACAACAAAAAAGACATGATTTTGGTTTCAAGAAAGAAAGTCTTCCTCCTCCCTTATTGAGTATCTCTGTCTGGCCACTGTGGTGTTGTATCCCACGGAGCATAGTTTAGTCCTGACAGAGAGATTAAAAGCAGCCTTTCTCTGGAAATATCTAAGGTATGTCAATTTGGGTTTGAAACATGTATAATCCCAGTATCATCTTCGGGGTTTTTATTTTTCCGGGGGGGTGGTAGGGGAATTGTTTGGTTGTTTTGGGTTGAAGCTGTTTTTGTTTCGGTGGTTTTGTGTGTGTGTGTGTTTTTTTTTGGGGGGGGGGGGGGTTGACAATGTGCCCACCGCTATCTTGCTGAAATAAGCTGTCTTCAGAGGCAAAGCATTCCTTTGATTCTTCAACAGGACGATAGTCTTAGCAGCGGCTTCCTCGGTCAAGGCCACATGTTCCGGGGTCAACACATCCTTCAGACCCAGTTTGGCGTACGGGTTGTCTTCCGGTGGGTCAAACTCGCCCAGGCGCATGCGCGTGTAGAAAAGATCCTTGACCCTGCTCCGGACTGTGGCGTCGTCAACTAGTTTGAGAATGATGGCGCTTTCTGGGGAATACACACGCCTTCTTTCAATGTTAAATTCGACAGGTTTTTTTTAAACATGTATGTGACACATCATGGTCAAATCAAGTGCTTGTCAAAATATTGAAATGAAGGAAAATGGCTCCCCCCCTAACCATGATGTGTCATCGTGGTGAAATTATTAGGTCCTTGACAAATTATGAAATCGAAGAAATCGACATTTTTTCCCCCCCTTGGGCAATTAAAAAAAAAATTTCCTTCTCTGGCTCAACACCTTTTATGACCATTTAAAACTACATCTCTACGTGGATTTACCAAAAATCATTGGTCAAGGGCACAGACAAATGTAAATTTGTAGTTTTCAAAGACACACAAACTTTGCAAGTCCCCACACTTTGGTGTCAATTTTCTCGCTAATTTTAGCTCAAACACCAGGTGACTCCCACCTCTTTAATCGAAAATATCTCGACTTCTGTTCCAGATATATGTCATTTTTTGGTTCACAGAAAGACAAATTAGCACGCTTAAGGTGATACTAATAACTCCATAAGCCCAAATATTGACTAGCGCCCGATTCCACCGCGTCGTGACACGTATGGCTGCACACACCACAAAGCCGTGAAAGAAAATACTAGGCCTATATTGATCAAATACATTGTGTGACGTGCCAGTAATACATTTTTTGAGGAACGGTATCTCCTGCTGCCCTTTAATAAAGTTGGTCTAAGGCAATGGTGAGTTAGACAAAGGAAAGATATGAAGAGATTTTGGAAAAGGAAACTTAAGCTCTCCATTTGGAATTTAGTAGCCTGCAATAAAGCACATTCGGAGTTTCCACTTTCAGTGGGGCCATATTTGGATCGTTGAGACGTCATTCACGCAGATACGTTTCACTTAATTCAAGAAAGAGGGTCGAAATTTACCAGTACCGATATCTTATCCTTAGGTGTTTCTACTTACTTATAATATATGTTTTGTATATATGAATACACATCATTTGATATGGTTTGAATTAGTTTAAATGAGGTTGGATCAACAAGACAACAATGGCAATGGTCGCTCACAACGCTAGAAGTCTCACTATATGAATAAAAAAAAGTTATCTTTTCTTTCTACATTGTTGTGGTCAAAATGACTGCTGCTATAATTTCCATGTACCGCTGATTTAAACAGGACACCAGTGATTTCTTAATAACCCTTTAAGTTAGTATAAGATATTACTAGACAAAATGAATCCGGGCAAAAAAAAGCGACTCAAAAAACATTTAAAATAGAAAAGTATAACTTCTGTTTTCTATGACCCACGTCCTTGACGACCATAAAGAGGGGGGGGGGGGTACAGCTGAAGGCTATATCGCTTATTAGTCGATCAAATGTTACCAAAATTCACACATATAACAAGCATAATCAGGAGTCTTAAATCTGCAATCAATTTTGAGGAAAAAGTTTCGTTTCCATGGATACGGCCGCCATATTGGATTTTGTTGATACATCTTACGTAATTAATACCACACTTAGTTTTCTTGGAAATAAATTGTTGTTGGGGGTTTTTTTGCATGCATCTTGGCAAAACAAAGATCTACAAATCTGTGTGGTGAATTTTTCCTAAACGTCCTAGAACATTTTTCATGATTTTTTTCCTGAGGTAGTGTTCGCTTTTGCAAAAAATCCGTGAAAATCCGCACTCCAAACACCACGAACGCAAAACTATTCCATATGTTTAAAATTCATCGCACAGAGCTTTAGTATTACATCTTTTCTTCATTCTGTGAAAATTTCATGAAGAGTGGATGAAAAATGGTGGAGTATTAACAAAAGTATATAGAAAAACCAAATTTCTAGAAAACGGGCATGAAGAAAAATAAAAGATTGATTTTATGAGGAAATGGTGGTGACTAACATGCCCGGTATGGGAAGAAATACGGCTTTAGAAGTTCTTATGCGATGAAATAGTTGCAAGTGAGGCTGAAGAAGCTAAAAATGCCTACAACTTGAAATTCATAGTTTTGAGCCGAATCGGGACTTTCGGCTTAAATGTTGTAAAAGAAACAAGACGACAGACAGAAACAACACAGGGAAAAGAGAGAAGTGGGACTTACAAGTGGCATCATCCAACCAACCCTCCTCCCACCCCACCCCCTAACCCATTTCTCTACCTTTAGACATAAACCACACACCTTAATTTAGATTATCACAAGAACGTCAGACAGAAACAATAGAAAGAAAGGAAAAAAGCAGGACCTCCTACCAAACCCCGCCTTGGTTCCTCGCCTATAAACAGAAACCATACCCCTAAACAGAAACAACATCCCTAAACTTAGATGATTACAAGAAAGTCAGATAAACGGAACGGGAAAACGCAGAACCTACCAGCAGCGCCGTCCTACCAACCCCAGCCCTTCTTCCCGACTTCCAAGTCGAAACCACACTCGTAAACTTTGATAATCACAAGAAGAGCAGACAGCAATAACAGAGCAAAGAAGGAGATCTACCAGTGACCCCATCCAACCAACACCCCCCCCCCTCTCCACCCCACCTCCAAACAGAAACCACACCCTTCAACAGAGATCACACCCCTAAACAGAAACCACACATCTAAACAGAAATTATAAAAAAAATAACAGAGAAAAGTAGATCTACAGGTGGCACCCTTCAGCCCAATCCCACCCTCCTTCCCGACTAAGATAATCACTAGAAAGACAGAAAAAACCCCCAGAAAGTCAAGAAGTAAAACCTACCAATGTCATCCTCCTATCAATATCCCC